CTGGGTTTGTTAACACCTCTACCTTTCCCCCCACCTTCTCTTCTCCTCCTCTTGTTTACTGGTTACATAGGATTTTGTTCTTCATCCTTTTATTTCTAGTTTGTTTGTATCCTATGCCCCCCAGAACTATCGGTCCCGTTGTTTTCTCCTCCAGATTGTTCATCCAGCCTATCTTATTTAGGCAGACCTGCGGAGATAGTAAAATGCACAAAAACAAGACAGAGCAAAACCAGGCAACAATATACAACAAAATAACAACAACAAACCAATGACAAACAAAACACAGTAAGAAAGAAAAGCTTGTAGTTAGTTCAAGGACTGTTTGTTGGCCTTTAGGAGTGTTTTCCAGTCCAGTCTGTTGGGGCACCATACCCTGGCCCCAAAGTCTACCTCCAGCATTCCCTGGGGACCTTGCTGTTCCATTCCCTTGCTGTTCTGTTGCACCCCCTTAGTGTTTTGCCTTGGTGTGGCGGGATCAGATCGGGCTCAATTCCCACACTGTGTCTCCGGTGTTGTCCCCTGTAGGGCTATGGGTCAGTGAGGGGCGACATGTCTCAGAGTGGGGCCGGCCATGTGGTCCTCTCTGTGGACTGGCTGCTCTAATTGGGATCATCGTCCTCCAGGTCTGGTGGACCAGGATGTGCTCCACTCTCTCCTCCTCCCCCTTCATCTGCTCCCGTGTGCTCTGATTAGATATGTCCCTCTCCTGGAGCTGCAGATTCAATGCAGTCCTTTGAAATAAATTCTTCTGGGGGGAGGGGAAGGTGTCCACATAGTAGTTGGGATTGGGGCCCGCCCCTCAGAGCCCTGTTTTTCTTATAATAGATTTTTTTATATAATATATTTTTATTTAAAGTTTATTTTATCTAATATCAATATGGGCACCCTTGATTTTGTTTGTTTGTTTACTGGTTACATAGGATTTTGTTCTTCATCCTTATATTTCTAGTTTGTTTGTATCCTATGCCTAAAATATATTTCTTATAGACAGCAAAAGAGTGGATCATGTTATGTGAGTTGTTTTGTTTGCTTGCTTATTTTATCCATTCTGCCACTCTCCGTCTTTTGCATGGCACATTTAGACTATTTACATTTAGGCTCACTGCATCAAGTTGATTCCACTCCTAGTGACCCTATGCCACCAGGACTCCATGTGTCCCAGCTTGTCTGGAAAAAATGACAAACAACACACAGCAAAGAAACAAAATGAATAATCAATTCCAATTCAGCGTGATCGTTGCCTTGGGCGAGCGCTGTGCAGAATGCCTTGGACACATAAAAAGAAGGAACAAACTCTTCCGGAGGACTCAGAACAGTTTTTTTTTTAAAGGATGAATAGATGTATCCAGGGTGGCATCCTGACATGGTTCAGTATACATTACTACTGTTGTTGGTAGGTGTTGTCAAGACAGTTGTGACTCAGAGTGACCCTATGTACAACCACCTAGATCTGCCCCATCCTCACAATTGTTATGTTTGAGCCCATTGTTGCAGCCACTAGGTCACCCCATCTTGTCCAGGGTCATCTTCTTCTCTTCCCTTTTATTTTTCCAAGCATTATTTTACCAAGTAGACATTACTAAGTATGCATAATTGCACTTGTGCTTACCTTACTTATTGGGTAATCTGGCCCTGGCTGTCTCCCAAGTTAGCAAAGATGAGATAAGGAAAAATATGGGTAAAATCTAAGTCTTTTTCTAACAATCTCTTAGTGTGTTAATGCTGCCATCAAAAAATACCACAATAGGTGGCTTTAAAGAAGAGACGTCCAAATCAGGCCCTAAATTGTAGAGAAGAATCTTTTGTTGGGATCCATGACATTGCTTAACATTCTTTGAGTTACAGATGGCGCTTTACATGGTCTCTTCCAGTTGTGTGTGTGCATTCTTCAGAAGGGATGAGATAAAGGAGCTATCTACACTAGAATGGCCTCATTAACATCACATAAGACATGATTTCCATTTTTTTAATGATTTCCAATTTACAGGTATGGGTTTGGATTTAGGTATTTTATTTCTATTTTGGGAACATATAACAAATGCCCATCACCATTCTATAATCTCTCATCTGGGTTACTGTTATAGACACCAAACCTGGTTGCCCTGTGTCCTCTTTTGCCCCCACTTCCTCACACTCAATACATTCTCTAACAGCAATCAGATGGATATTTCTAGCATACAGAATATCACTTCCCTCAAAAGAGGAAGATCTTATCCCATTTGAAGAGTGCTGCTGCTAAATAAGGAAAAAAATATGAAAAAAATTTAAATAAGTGATCTTTGTATGTGAATTCCCTAGGAGGCCTTGGGCCAAATTCTCTCCTAATGGTTTGTCTGCAGTTCTGCCTGAGGGAGAGCCACAGATTTGTCACTTTCTGGTTTGCAGGTGCAACTTCCCTTGTCATAGGCTCTGTTAAATAATTTGCATTTCAGCGAAACCCAAAGGTTTAAATTTCATTTTGTATCCTTCCTCAGCTTTTCTACTGATAATTACCTCTTCTCAAGGGAAGCACAGGAGGCAGTTTGGATTTTCTCCATTTGCTCAAAAACTGGAAGTATAGTCTCTACAGATTCCATCACCATTTAGTGAGAAGATCAATTTGTCAGAATTGCAGAATATCAACCCTGAGGAAACTATAGCGAGCACCCCCCCTTATTTTATGGCTGGGAACACTCGCACCAGATTGATAGTGGACTCTTTTTTTCCCCTTGCCTCTTCCCGATAATGGACTCTTTAGGAGGACATACATACAGAGTCAGAACTTGAGTCCAGAGCACCTGGGTTTCTGACTCTTGATTCTGGGTCTCACCTAGAATAAAAGTGGTAGAAGAAGAATAGAGGACGTTGTTTTCCTTCCCAGAATCATGCTTCCTCTTGAAAATCATCTACCAGCACTCTCTTTATCTGCTATTTCTCTGAGAGTTCTGCATTGGAAAGGAGTGAAGAGGGTGTAGGAAGAGGAAGAGAGTCTTTTGTGTTTGTGTTGGTTCCTGCTGCATTTAAAATGAACATTTTCTATGGGTGAGACCTTATTCTTAGATCTAGTCTTATGGGGATGGATTGCAAGCTTACGGGCTTTCCTCCCAGGCAAGAGGGATTCCTAGTTAGAGCAGATAACACATCACCCTGTCTGTGCCTGGGTCCCGGGAAGCCTATTGCCCTCATGGATCCCTTTCTAGGCACTCTTGGGCCCACCATTTTCCACTTCTTCCTATGACCCACATACATACACATACATGAGGGGATGAGGGGGGGCAATGGGGATGATCAAGAAATATGGGAGGACAAACACAGAGATGCAAGGTGAGGTAGTGAACAAGTAGTTCAATTCTTCTTAGAAGTTGAGGGTGAAGATTGAAATGGGGTCCTTCACTTGTAATATAAAGATTGTGGGTGACCTTAACAAGAACAATTTCATGAAGTGGGCAGGAGCAAACTGAAGTCTGAGTAAAGTGACTTAAAGGATAAATATGATCCCTGGTGGCATAGTGGTTACTCACTAGGCTCCTACCTGTAAGGTCAGCAGTTCGAAGCCACTCCACAGGAGAAAGCTGGGGCTTTCTCCTCCTGTAAAGGTTACAGTGTCGGAAACTTATAAAGGCAGTTCTACCCTGTCCTATAGGGTCATCCTATGAGTTGGCCTTGACTCCTTGGCAGTGAGTGGGTAAAAGGAGAAGTAGATGTGAAGAAACTTATTTTTAAAGGTGTTTTATTTTATGAAGGAGCAGACAACGAGGTCACACTGGAAGGTTATTCCAAGATGACTACCCCTACAGCTTGTTCACTTGCTTATGTCATAAGCCTTATGGAGATGATCCAGTACGGGAAAACTGAATATTGAAGCAGGAGTAGGGGGAATTTCTGATCTCCACAAGGTTGAGATGGATATTATGTATTTGATCCCCAATACTTAGAACTGGTCCAAGGGCATTGTAAGCTAAGTAAACAGCATATATCTAATAAAATCTTGGTACAAGGAATCGAATTAAGTGGCTTCACACTTAAATCATTCTCACTGTGTCAGTCGTAAGTACTCTAGAGTAAACAGGGGTTCTGACATAATAAATAGCTACTTATATCTCAATCGAAATGAAAAACTGACCCTTATATCTGGGCTACAACTCTCTTCATTTATTATCTGATTCATTTAATGAAATCATAAATTATGACTGATCATCAACTATGTGCATTAGTTCTACTTTAGGAAGAAGTGACAATAAGTAGGTAAAATACTGGATGTGGGATTTTGCTGAGACTTAAATGCCCTGTGCCTTAAGATATGCCTTTGTTCTATTTTTCTCTAGGCCTTTCAGAGGGAAGCTCTTCATTTAAGGCTTAAAAAAACAAACAAAAAACAATTGAGAATATTTCCTTCTGAGCAATTCTAGAGCTAGATGGAAACAGGAGTGAACAAACATGACGAGCCTTCCCAGAAAGCAGGCATCTCATGTGTATAATCTTCCCCTTTTCTACTGTCTGGCTAGGTTGTGACAACATGCTGATGGGTATCAAGTCCCTGAAGATAGTGAAGAAGACTATGGGCACAGATGGTTCTTGGATGAAAGATGCTGCCAGCAACTCTGCAAAAGTGTATTTCTTAATTGGATCCAGAAACAACACGGTTTGGGAATTTTCAAATATTCGGGCTTTCATGGAGGACAGCACCAAGCCAGCTCCCCGGAAGCTAATCCTAACGCTTTCCTGGCAGGGAACAGGCCAAGTGATCTACAAAGGTTTCCTATTTTTTCACAACCAAGGGACTTCTAATGAGATAATAAAATATAATTTGCAGAAAAGAGCTGTGGAAGATCGAATGTGGCTCCCAGGAGGGGCAGGCAGATCATTGGTCTATCAGCACTCCCCTTCAACGTACATTGACCTGGCTGTGGATGAGCATGGTCTCTGGGCCATCCACTCAGGGCCAGGCGTCTATGGCCAACTGGTCCTCACAAAAATTGAACCTGGCTCACTGGGAGTGCAGCACTCATGGGACACTCCCTGCAGAAGTCAGGATGCTGAAGCCTCATTCCTCGTTTGTGGGGTTCTCTACGTGGTCTATAGATCCAATGGCCAAGGGCCCCATCGCATCACCTGTGTCTATGATCCACTGGGCATTGTCAATGAGGAACATCTGCCCAACTTGTTCTTCCCCAAGCGGCAGAGAAGTCACTCCATGATTCACTACAACCCCAGAGAGAAGCAGCTCTATGCCTGGAATGATGGAAACCAGATCATTTACAAACTCCAGACAAAGAGAAAATTGCATGTGGACTAAAGACAGCATCCCTGTAATGACCAACAGGAATAAGGTCTAGAAATGGGATTGTCATCTTTTTTCCAGATGTCACTGTTTTGGGTATCTTCCAAGAGATTACAGGAGAGGCTCTCCTTCAGAATTTTCCAACAGCTGCTATCACCCATCTAAATCTCCTGACTTTCAAGGCCTTCCACATTCTCATCCTGCTTGATGCAAGCTTTTTCTTTTCCTTCTTTCTTAGCATTTCCTCTAAGCTCCCCCTAGAGCAGTGGTTCTCAACTTGTGGGTCCCGAGCTCTTTGGAGGTCGAACGACCCTTTCATAGCAGTCACCTGATTCATAATAGTAACAAAATTACAATTATGAAGTAGCAACAACAATAATTTTATGGTTGTGGGGGGTCACAACATAAGGAACTGTATTAAAGGGTTGCGACATTAGGAAGGTTGGGAACCACTGCCCTAGAGTAATCAGAATTGTATGTCATCCCTGAATGCACACTGGTTTCTCTCTCTTCTCACCTTTGCGCACTCTTATCTCTTTCTCAAATGCCCTATTGGTATTCTCCCACTTTTCATTGCCCAATTAAAGTACTATTTCTTATTGATGTTTAATTTCTATTTCTCCTAGCCTTACCTCTCCACTAACCCAGGTTGGTATGATAATAGAATAATAATATTACCATTTGAATAACATCAAGTTATGTCATGTAATTCTAATCTCACCCTTGTATGACCTATGCAGAATAGATTTTGTATGTGTCTTCTGAGAAATATAAGCAGTTATTCAAAGAAACAGCTACAAAGTGAAAGAGCGGGCTGCAAATTCTATAGTCTACCCATTACCCAGTGAAGGCTCCAACACACGTTTGTTCTCCAAGAGTCTTTTAGCAGCATAGCCATCATTGCAACCTGAAAAATGGTGGTCTCCCCTTTATTTCTTGTCTGGACAAGACCTTTTTATAGGTAGTTCAAAAACTGCTTCCTCTGGAAGACCAGCCTAAGGAGTAGGACCCCATCTTCTAGCCTCATTTTGTCTTATAATCAATCCCCTTCTTTCTTTAAATGCCATAAAATTGACCCTAAGCTAATAAACCTCATCAGGTTACATTTGCCCACATGCCTTCAGTACCGTTTTCAGTGTGTGCTGCCTTGTTTGGGTTCACTGTGAGAAATCCCCAACATGCTGAGGCCCTTGGCAAATATTCTGCAGTTGGATGAATGCCAGCTTATAGGCAGCAGGCATGCCATGTGGCACGGGCCAGAGGACAGCTGTGCCCCTTAAGAAGGCCTTCCTCAAAAGGTTTCCCATGCATTTATTCGGTCCAGCCAAGTTTGGGTCATAAGTGAAGGCTGTGGTGCCAGTCTGGGTCATGTGCTGAGGCCCCTGTCTTTCCAGGTTGGTCACATGAGAGGGTTTGCTTTGTGGGTTTGCAGCTGTTTTCTTGTCTCTGCCAAGCTCAGGCCAGAATCACAGGCAGTGAAGAGATTATTTTTCTCTTGTCTATTCCCCATAGCATTTGAATAGATCTTTGACAAAAGGGAATTAATTACCACCCGGTGAATAAAGCTGAATTATCTATAGTCCTAATAAAGTGATCTCTAAACCCAAACCTACCATTGTTGATTCTGACCCTGTAAGTCACATCGTTCTCTTGCAGAGCAGCTGATGGGTTTGAACTGTCAACCTTATGATTAGCAGCTAAGTGTTTAATCACCGGACCACTCAAAAAATAAAAACTAACTCACTGCCATCAAGTTGATTTTGATTCATAGCGACCTTAGACAGCAGGGTAGAACTGCCCCTGTTGGTTTCTAAGACTCTCTTGAGGAGCAGCTGGTCATGTGGTCAGCAGACCAACGTGTAACTACCATGCTGCCAGGCCTCCTACTGGACCACTAGAGCTCTTTAATAAAGTGATACCCAGACCCCAACTCCTTTGTGGAATGAAGCACATGTTATCTTCTGCTCCACAGGTTTAGGGACATTTATCTACCCATTAGTGAAATGACATTGCCTATTTCATAGAGATAAGGAATGTTGTATGTCACATAGATGAGGGTAGAGTGACATTATCAGCAGGCATGAGGCACGAGTACATGGTTTCTTTGCAGGCAGAGAGGCGCAGGTAGACTGTAATGTGCTTTGATCCATCAGAGCCACGGAATACACCTGCCCCTAACAACCCTCCCCGGTGCTTTCAACTCTTGCAGCTATAATCACTCTTTGGGGTTAAGACATTTTCTCCTGGAAGAGCCTGTTAACTTGCCAATTTGTTTCTGGGTAGCCAGAGCAGGAAAACGATAACATGCAGGTTTTGGAAACCCTTTTTGGGGCTTCTTATGGGTGAATGTTTCAGTTCTGCGTTCTTTTGTTAGATTAAATCTAGATTAAATCTAGGATGAAAGTCCCCATGATCTATATTAGTGGTTCTTAAATTGTGCTGTAGTTAAGAATCACTTGTGGAGATTTAAAAAATCCTGAGGCCCAGGCCATGCTGCCCCCCCCC